TTTTTTCAGTAGAGACGGGGTTTCATCACGTTGGCCAGGCTGCTCTTGAACTCCCAACCTCAGGTGATCCACCTGACTCAGCCTCCCAAAGTGCTGGGATTTCAGGCATGAGCCATGGCACCTGGCTGCGTAGTTTGCCTTTTAGCAAATCCATGTGCCCCATGTTACCCAACTCCCTTAGTGAGGTTGTTGTGGGGGGAGCTTCCTGGGGTGGGTTGAATAATGACTCCCCCCATATCCAGGTTCTTTTTTTTTTTTTGAGACTGAGTCTCTGTCACCCAGGCTGGAGTGCAATGTCAGATCTTGGCTCACAGCAACTTCCGCCTCCTAGGTTCAAGCGATTTTCCTGCCTCAGTCTCTTGAGTAGCTGGGATTACAGGTGTGTGCCACCATGCCCGGCTAATTTTTGTATTTTTACTAGAGATGGGGGTTTCACCATGTTGGTCAGGCTGGTCTCGAACTCCTTACCTGGTGATCCACCAGCCTCGGCCTCCCAAAGTGCTGGGATTACAGGTGTGAGCCACTGCACCTGGCCTCCCATATCCAAGCTCTAATCCTTGGAACCTGTGAATATGTGACCTTACATGACAAAAGGGATTTTGCAGATAATTAAATTAAGCTAAAGATCTGGAGATGGGGAGAGGACCCTGAAGTATCTGGGCGGGCTCAGTGTCATCCTCACGTGGGTCCCTGTAAAATGGAGGAAGGGCCGGATGTGGTGACTCACGCCTGTAATCCCAGCACTTTGGGAGGTTGAGGTGGGTAGATCACGAGCTCAGGAGTTTAAAACCAGCTGGGCCAAGATGGTGAAACCCCATCTCTACTAAAAACTACAAAAATTATCCAGGTGCAGTGGCAGGCACCTGTAATCCCGGCTACTCGGGAGGCTGAGGCAGTAGAATCACTTACCTGGGAGGTGGAGGTTGTGGTGAGCTGAGATCACACCACCGCACTCCTGGGCAACAAGGGGGAAACTCTGTCTCAAAAACCAAAAACCAAAAAAACAAACAAAAAAAAATTAAAAAAAAAAAAAAAAGAAAAACACACCAGTCAGGCGCAGTGGCTCACGCCTGTAATCCTAGCACTCTGGGGACCCAGGCAAGTGGGTCACTTGAGGTCAGGAGTTGGAGACCAGCTTGGCCAAGATAGTGAAACCCTGTCTCTACTAAAAATACAGAAAGATTAGCTGGGTGTGGTAGGCACACCTGTAGTCCCAGCTACTTGGGAGGCTGAGGCAGGAGAATCACTTGAACCTGGGAGGCGGAGGTTGCAGTGAGCCGAGACTGGGCCCCTGCACTCCAGCCTGGGCGACAGAGCAAGGCTCTGTCTCAAAAAGTAAAAAAGAGAGTGGGTAAGAGTGTGTTGTTGTGAGCCCGCAGTTTGTGCTGTTTTGTTACAGCAGGAGGAAGGAATGGCCACGCCTCGGCCTGCGCCCGCGACCCAGCGCTTGAGTATTTCCGCAGTGAACACGGCTGTGAAGGAGGATTCGCAGAGACTCTAAATCTCCCCCTGGGTGGATCTGCAGCGCTCCTGGAGGTTTTGGTCTCGTTGGGGGTTCTCTGGGTGGGAAGGCCTTGGGTGGCTGGCACGTGTGCCGGGCCAGTGCTAAGCCCTGTGTGTGGTCAACCCTGGGGCCACAGTGCCCCCTTTCACCCAGTGCTACAGCTGGGTGAGAAACAAGCCCAGAGAGGTTAAGTAACTCGCAGGTCACACAGCCGGGCAGTGCCTAGTGGGCTCCAAACCCCAGAACCCCCGCACCTTTCCGGAGGAAGGCCCCACGGCGGTGGTCCAGCAGGCTGGGGGGCAGCAGCGTGTAGTTGGACATGGTGTTGGCCTTCATGGCGCTGAAGGTTGAGTGCGCCACGACGGAGCCCAGCGCCTCCTTGCTCAGTGGATGGCCCAGGAACTCGCAGATGCGCTGCACAGAGCCCTGTAAGTCCTGCAGGCAGAGAAGAGGGGTCAGTGGAGGGATGGCACCCCGGCCAAGGAAGGGGCGCGGCACCTGGGGTCTGGATGTCCGAGTCCCAACCTCTTTGCCTCAGTTTCCCCAACTCCAAGCTGAGGGGTTAAGTTGTATCACCTCTAAGGCTTTTTGCAGTTTCTGTCTTTGCAGGGTTCTCTAGGTGGGAGGGAATAGGGGGGCTTGGAGCAGAGGTCAGAGCAGGAGGCAGAGGTCAGTGTGCCCCCTTACCCGGATCACCCTTCTTCGAGTTAGAGGCAGGCACTGGCTGGTCTACATCTCGACCTCTTTCTTTCTTTCTTTCTTTTTTTTTTTGAGATGGAGTCTCACTCTGTCCCCTAGGCTGGAGTGCAGTGGCGTGATCTCGGCTCACCACAACCTCCGCCTCCCAGGTTCCAGCGATTCTCCTGCCTCAGCCTCCCAAGCAGCTGGGATTACAGGCACGCGCCACCACGCCCAGCTAGTTTTTGTGTTTTTAGTAGAGACGGGGTTTCACCAAGTTGGCCAGGATGGTCTCGATCTCTTGACCTCGTGATCCGCCCGCCTCGGCCTCCCAAAGTGCTGGGATTACAGGCGTGAGCCACCGCGCCCGGGCTGTCATCTCAGACCTGCCCCTCCCCTAGGCCCCTTTGCAGGATGGCCCCACCAACCACCCAGGAGCCTGGCGTCCCTCTCTGGGTGCCCATCACCCCCAAACCCCATTCGTCATCAGCGCTATCCCTCCCTGCCTGCCTCCCCTTACCATGTCCCTTCCTCTGTGTCCCAATAGCCTAACTCTGCTCGGTGCTCCTCCTCCCCTTCCTGGTCCCACGTCCCGGCCTGCTGCTCCACAGCCTCCCTGCCTCCAGTCTCCATCTGTCCCCCCACAGCCAAGCTCACCCTGCTCCTCACTGGCTCCCAACTCTCCCATGGCTCCTGAGTATCCTGGGACAGAGTCCCAGACCCACACCCAGCTTTTAAGAATAGCTGTGGGCTGGGCGCAGTGGCTCATGGCTGTAATCCCAGCCATGGGATTGGGAGGCTGAGATGGGCGGATCACTTGATGTCGGGAGTTCAAGACCAGCCTGGCCAACAAGGTGAAATGCTGTCTCTACTAACAATATAAAAATCATCTGGATGTGGTGGTGGGCATCTGTAATTCCAGCTACTCAGGAGGCTGAGGCAAGAGAATTGTTTGAACTGGGAGGTGGAGGTTGCAGTGAGCCAAGGTCCCACCACTGTACTCCAGCCTGGGTGTCAGAGTGAGACTCTGTCTCAAAAACAAAACAAAGCAGTGATCTGGTCTCAGCTCTTCCAATCCCTCTCCCACCCTCTCCCTCTCCTTTTGGGATTCACCATTTCCTATACATTCCTCCCCCAGGCCTTGGCATGGGACCTCCAGAAGGGCCCACTGCCACGGCTGCAACTCAAATATTACCTTCCTTACTGAGTGCCTGCTATGTACCAAGCTCTGGTCCAAGCCACCCATATATTTGTGCCGATCCTGCCGTCAGCTTTGCAAGGGAAGTGTTATTATCTCAATTGGCAAACAGAGGCCCAGAGAGGGAGAGACACTTGTCCAAAGTTACACAGCCAGAGAGGAGCTCAGGCTCCTGAAGCCCTTAGTCTTTGACTCTGCCTCT